CTCTTCCCTCAATCCTCTCCCCCACTCCCCCTCCCCTTTCCCCTTCTCTCCCACCTCCTCTCGTCCTTTCCTTCACTCCTCCCTCCCTCCACCTCCCTCCCTCAATCCTCTTTCTCCCTTTCTTTCTCCCACTCATCTCCCCCACCTCTCTTCTCCCTTCTTTCTCTCCTCACTCCCTCTCTTCTCTCCCTCACTCCCTTCTTCTCTCCCCCTCCCTCCCTGACCAGCAAAGCACCGCTGCTCTCACACAGTCACACAACACTTTTGTTGATGTGGAAATGCAATGGGGTGAGTGGTGGTTGGTTGACTGTGTGGTGGTGGTGTTGACAGTGCGGTGGTGGTGTGGTTGACTGTGTGGTGGTGTGGTTGACTGTGCGGTGGTGGTGTGGTTGACTGTGTGGTGGTGTGGTGTGGTTGACTGTGTGGTGGTGTGGTTGACTGTGTGGTGGTTGACAGTGCGGTGGTGGTGTGGTTGACTGTGTGGTGGTGTGGTTGGCAGTGTGGTGGTGGTGGTGGTTGACTGTGGTGGTGTGTGGTTGACAATGTGGTGGTGTGGTTGACTGTGCTGGTGGTGTGGTTGACAGTGCGGTGGCGGTGTGGTTGACTGTGTGGTGGTGTGGTGTGGTTGACTGTGTGGTGGTGTGGTTGACTGTGTGGTGTGGTGTGGTTGACTGTGTGGGGTGGTGTGGCTGGACTGTATGGTGGTGGTGGTGTGGTTGACGGTGTGGTTGAGGGTGTGGTGGTGTGGCTGACTGTGTGGTGGTGGTGTGGTTGACTGTGTGGTGGTGGTGTGGCAGTGGTGTGGCTGACTGTGTGGTGGTGGTGTGGTTAACTGTGTGGTGGTGGTGTGGTGTGGTTGACGGTGTGGTGGTGTGGTGATGTGGTTGATGGTTTGGTAGTGTGGTGGTGTGTGTTTGGTTGATGATGTGTTGGTGTGGTTGATGATGTGTTAGTGTGGTTGATGATGTGGTGACCTTAACGGTGTGGTTGACTGTGGCGGTGTGGTTGACGGTGTGGCGGTGTGGTTGAGAGAGAAAGAGAGAGGTTACGAAGATAGTGAGTCAGCCAGTGGTCATGTCAGCAAGTAGTTATGTCAGCCAGTAGTCACATCAGCCAGTAGTCAGGTCAGCCAGTAGTTACATCAGCCAATAATAGTCAAGTCAGTCAGTACGTCAACCAGTCGTCACTTCAGCCAATAGTCATGTCAGCCAGTAGTTACGTCACCCAATAGCCACATCAGCCAATAATCACGCCAGCCAATAGTCACGTGAGCCAGCCAGTAGTCACGTCAGCCAGCCAGTAGCCCAGCCAGTCAGTAGTCGTCAGCCAGCCAGAAGTCACGTCAGCCAGTCAGTAGTCACGTCAGCCAGCCAGTAGTCACGTCAGCCAGCCAGTAGTCACGTCAGCCAGCCAGTAGTCACGTCAGCCAGCCAGTAGTCAGGTCAGCCAGCCAGTAGTCAGGTCAGCCAGCCAGTAGTCACGTCAGCCAGCCAGTAGTCACGTCAGCCAGCCAGTAGTCACGTCAGCCACTTGTCAAAAGAACAGCATCGTATTGCACTGAAAATAATAACGTTGTTGGGTGCTCATTTGACCACTACGTTTGGTAAGCCTGTTGTTTTATATTTTCTCTGCATTTATCAGTTATTTATTTATTTATTTCGTTCACACTCTCTGTTTTAAATCGTTTTATGTATGTGATCAAACGTGGTGATAATTTGACCTATATAAAGGAAAAATTAAAGGTAGCGTCGGTGTAAATATCATTCTAGTTAAATATTTTGGCTGTCTCGTTCAAGTGTTGCCTTTGATGCGATGTTGTCTACCTATAATGTCAACAGTATGGTAGTAATGTATGATTTTTTTTTTATTATTATTTTATTTTTGTGTTAAAGTTGTAAAATAAATGATATGTAGGTACACACTATATGTATGTATGTATGTATGTATGTTCACAATAGGGTTGGTATATTCCTCCCCCTTCCTGCCCACACACACCTCTACCCCCTCCTTCTGCCCCCCTGTCCCCCCTACTGTCCCATTCCCCTGCACCTCTTCCTCCCCTCATCTCAACCATTTTAACTCCCACAAATGATGTATATTTTGTTTGATGGTATTACGTCACAGAGTTGCCACACACACACTCACTGCTTGTTTGAGTTTCCTTATTATATAAATCCAGAAATTTCTATATAATCCACATATGCGGCTTATATAATCCACATATGGCAACCTGGTTTGGTGTCCTGCCTTGTTCTGGCTGACACCCTACACTGCACCATTTCTACTATATATTTCACTCTTACCAAAGGTGTTTATGACGTCAGAGAGACAGTCATATATGTACGTTCTCTATATATGTGTAATACCTGTATATAGAGTTTTATTTCGTAACTTTGTATAATATCTTGAGGGGAAAGATAATATCAACATTTTTATTCACAAGAATGTTTTAAACTGATTAAGTAAACACATACACTAATGGAAGATAATTATAGAGATAAATAGAATTACACAGAATTATAGGTAATATGTATAAAATATTTGTTATACAGAAAGATCAGTACAATGACTTAACTTCTCGAGTACAATGACTTAACTTCTTGAGTACAATGACTTAACTTCTCGAGTACAATGACTTAACTTCTCGAGTACAATGACTTAACCTCTGAGTACAATGACTTAACCTCTTGAGTACAATGACTTAACTTCGAGTACAATGACTTAACTCTTGAGTAAAATGACTTAACTTCTTGAGTACAATGACTTAACTTGGAGTACAATGACTTAACCTCTTGAGTAAAATGACTTAACTTCTCGAGTACAATGACTTAACCTCTTGAGTACAATGACTTAACTCTTGAGTAAAATGACTTAACTTCTCGAGTACAATGACTTAACTTGAGTACAATGACTTAACCTCTTGAGTACAATGACTTAACTTCTGAGTAACAATGACTTAACTTCTTGAGTACAATGACTTAACTTCGAGTACAATGACTAACCTCTTGAGTACAATGACTTAACTTCTTGAGTAAAATGACTTAACTTTCGAGTACAATGACTTAACCTTGAGTACAATGACTTAACCTTGAGTACAATGACTTAACTTCGGCAAGTAAAAGACTTAACTTCTTGAGTACAATGACTTAACTTCGAGTACAATGACTTAACCTCTCGAGTACAATGACTAAACCTCTTGAGTGAAGATAATAATATAGATAAAGCAGATTGGTAGATGAATATAGGATAATGTTGATAATAGATGTGAGAGAGAGAGAGAGAGAGAGAGAGAGAGAGAGAGAGAGAGAGAGAGAGAGGGTGAGAGAGAGAGAGAGGGGGGAGAGAGAGAGAGAGGGGTGAGGAGAGAGAGAGAGAGAGAGAGAGGGGGGTGAGAGAGAGAGAGAGGGTGAGAGAGAGAGAGAGAGAGAGAGTGGTGAATATTATATACATACGCCATCACAGCCAGGGTATCATAGTAAGCTGGTGGTTGTGGTAATGGTGGTATTAGTGGTAGTGGTTGTAGTTGTGGTAATGGTGGTATTAGTGGTGGTGGTAGTGGTAGTCGATGTGTTAGAGAGAGGGATAAAATAGTAGATATAGATATAAAGAGATAGATAGAGAGACAGATAGAGATAGAGAGAGAGATAGATAGATAGAGAGAGAGAGATAGAGAGAGATAGAGAGAGAGATAGATAGAGATATAGAGAGAGATAGATAGATAGAGAGATATATATAGAGAGAGAGATAGATAGATGGAGAGATATATGAGATAGATAGAGAGATAGATAGAGATAGAGAGAGATAGATAGGAGAGATAGATAGAGAGAGATGATAGAGAGATAGATAGATAGAGAGATATATAGAGATAGATGAGATAGAGAGATAGATAGAGAGATAGATTGAGAGAGAGATAGATAGATGGGGAGAGAGAGATATAGATAGAGAGATGATAGAGAGATAGATAGAGATAGATAGAGAGGATGGATGAGGGATGGATGAGGTATGATAGAGAGAGATAGATAGAGATAGAGAGAAGAGATAGATAACTAGAGATAGATAGAGAGACAGAGGATAGATAGAGATAGATAAATAGTTAGAGATAGAGAGAGAGCGATAAATAGAGATAGAGAGATAGATAGAGAGAGATAGATAGTTAGAGATAGAGAGAGAGAGATAGATAGAGATAGAGAGAATAGATAGAGAGATATATAGAGAATAGAGATAGAGAGATAGGATATATAAGAGAGAGATATAGAGATAGATAGGGATAGATAGAGAGAGAGTAGATAGAGAGAGAGATAGATAGATAGATAGAGAGAGAGATATATAGATAGAGAGATAGATAGAGAGATAGATAGAGAGAGAGATAGATAGAGATAGATAGAGAGCAGAGAGAGATAGATAACTAGAGATAGATAGAGACAGAGGAGGATATAGAGATAGATAGATAGTTAGAGATAGAGAGAGCGACAAATAGAGATGAGAGAGATAGATAGTTAGAGATAGAGATAGAGAGAAATAGATAGAGATATATAGATAGATAGAGATAGAGAGATGGATGAGATAAGAGATAGATAGAGATAGAGAGCGATAAATAGAGACAGAGAGAGAGATGGATAGGTATATAGACTTCTTACAACACCTCTTCCTTCCTTCAGGCTCCCTCCCCTTCCTCTCCCTTCCCTCCCTTTCCCTTCCCTCCCTTTCTTTCCCTTTCCTCTCTTCTCTAGTTCCCCCATCCTCCCTTTCTTCCCTACCATTCATTCCCTCCTTTCATCCCTCTCCCCTATTTCCCTCTCTCCATTCCTCCCTCACCTCCTTCCCTCCTTCCCTCCCGACTTACCGACCACAGTGAGGGAGGGAGAATCGGAACTTGTGTGAAAAGTCGGGCATTTCCTCCTCCCTGTCCCTCCAAAACCCCTTCCTCCCTCCCCTCCATCCCCCCATACCCTTCCCTCTTCCTCCCATACCCTCCCTCCTCCTCCCCCTCCCCGACTTACCGACCACAGTGAGAGTAGCAGAGTCGGAAGCAGTGTGGAAGGTCGGGCCATCGGCGCAATTTCACAGTGGAAGGGCCCTCAGCTGCTAGCGTCACGTTGGCTATAATGGCACACTGCCTCCCCAAGACTTGTCGCCAGGGAGAGAGAGAGAGAGAGAGTGAGAGAGAGTGTGAGAGGTAGGGAAGTGTGTGAGAGAGTGGGGGTAGCAAGAGGCAGGAAAAAGGCAGGGACAAGCGGGAGAGAGGAAAGAGAAAGAAATGAGGTATGAGAGTGGGAGAGAGAGAGAGATATCTTTTATTATTATTATTATTATTATTAGTATTATTATTATATTATTATTATTATTATATATATTATTATTATTATTATATATATTATTATTATTATTATTATTATTATTATTTTATTATTATTATTGTTATTATTATTAATATTATTATTATTATTACTATTATTATTATTGTTAGTATTTACATTATTATTATTATTATTGTTATTATTATTATTACATTGTTATTATTATTATTATTGTTATTATTATTATTATTATTATTATTGTTATTATTATTATTATTGTTATTATTATTATTATTATTATTATTATTGTTATTATTATTATTACTATTATTATTATTATTATTATATTATTAGTATTATTATTATTATTGTTATTATTATTATTATTATTATTTTATTATTTTTATTATTATTATTACAGGTAAAGAAATAACAAATGAGTCAAGTTTAGAGAGACGCCGAATACTAAATATATTCCTCAGATCTTCGATACATTCAAACCGATTCGGACATAAACTAAGGTATTTAGAGACAGTGAACGTTATACATGTGTTCTGAACTATACTTAAAGGAGTAACTAGACCTAAGAACATATTATTAGAGAGTAAGATTAAATAATACCAAGTCTTCCTCTATCTTTCTATCTATCCGTCTGTCTGTCTGTCTGTCTAGCTATCTGTCTGTCTCTCTCTCTCTCTCTCTCTCTCTCTCTCTCTCCCCCCCCCCCCCTCTCTCTCTACCACATCAAAGAGTGTCATCTGTTTACTAATAGTTTCCGTGACATTGGACGTAACACATGTACAGAGTTATGAGGACTTGGTACAGTAGTTTAGTCAGGTAATATATATATATAGTGTGTTTGTCTTGTTTAATAATATAGATGTGTTACAAACCCACCACCCCCACTACCCCTCCTCCCACCCACCCCCACCCCCACCCTTGGCGAGTTAGTCCAGAGATGGGAGACAAGCAAAGCGCCGCGATAATCTGAAAAGCTGTATGACAAAAAAGGAAAAGGAAGGTATGTGTGTGTGTGTGTGTACCTGTGTCTGTGGCTGTGTGTGTGTACCGGTGCCTGTGGGTATGTATGTATGTTTGAATGTTTAAATGCAGTGTATATATATTTGTGTGTGTGTGTGTGTTAATCCTGAAGCCGCACTCTTTCACAGCTCCAGAAATAATGTCATCTGGGCCAGGAGCTTTGAGGGGATCAAGGGTGTTGGGGAGAGGGGTGAGAGGGAATGAGGGGGGACAAAGAGAGAGGGTGAGAGGGAATGAGGGGGACAAAGAGAGGGATGGGGAGGGAGGACAGAGGGAGAGGGAGAGGCGGAAAAGTCCCTCCTCCATTCCCCCCGCACCCATACAATTTAGTCAGCATGAAGAATGATCTGAGAGCCACTTTAGGAGCTAAGGTGATTGCCAGGATCACCTATAGCTGTGTGTGTGTGTGATGTGTTTGTGTGTGTGTGTGTGTTTGTGTGTGTGTCTGTGTGTGTGTGTGTGTGTGTGCTTTCTTCACCCTTTTCACCCTTCATCATCATCATCTTTACTTTCTCACCGACGTAATTCTCCTCCCTCCCTCTTCCCCTCCTCTCTCTCCCTCCCTTCCCCACCAAGAGATTTTATTTTTTTTTTTGACTGTGGTGGGATGGAGTCACACTGTGGAGATCAGGGTGAGCAAAAGGCTGAAAAAGTTAGTAAAAAGTGTGTTAGTTGGGAAGCAGAGAGGCGTGTTGTTGTTCTGTGTGTGTGTGTGTGTGTGTGTTTGTGTGTGTGAAAGTGGCCGCGGCGGAAAGGACTAAGGAAGGGTCAGGGGAGGGGTCGGGAGGGTGCGGTATACGTGTGAAAATTTTGATTCCCGTGTGTGGAATTTTTTAGTCCGTGTGAAATTTCGTCCGTGTTTATGGTTGGTTGATGTAGTGTTTGTGTGTGTGTGTTGTGTTGTGTTGGGCTTGTGTGTTTGTGTGGTGACTGTGAGAGGAGGAGGGGAAGGTAGAAGGGAGGGAGGGTAGGGGGAAGGGAGTGTAGGGGAAGGAGTGTTTTATATTTGTGTTTTTAGGTTATTTATATATATATATATATAAGCTTTATGACGTAATATACCATAGAAAAGAGGATTTTTGTGTGTGTGTGTGTGTGTGTGTGGTGTGTGTGTGTGTGTGTGTATAAAGTGAAATACTTTGTAGTATATTTATTTATTACACACACACACACACACACACACACACACACACACACACACATACAACCACAGCAGGGTCAATAAATAAACGAGAATAATACCAAGTCAACGCTAATAAATTTTCAACTAAAGAAGAAAAAGAAGAAGAAGAAGAAGAAGAAATATGAAAGGAAGTAAAGGGAAGTAAATGAGTGACGATAGGAAATGGAGGCAAAGGAGAAATAACGATAAATATAGAATAGGAAGAATAAGATAAAGAAGGAAACACAAGACGAAGTAGAATGAGACACTTACCGACAACAACAACAAACAACAATTATATTAATGATGATAATAATAATAATAACAAATTAACAAATAACAACAACTAAATAACAACTATATCAAAACAATCACAACAACAAACAATAAATACCACAATAACAACAACAATAACAACAAACAATAATAACTGCACATAACAACAACAAACAATAACAACAAACAATAATACCCGCAATAACTATACAAAAAATAACAAACAATTATAATAACAACAACACCAGCAAACAATAACAAACCACAAGAACAAGCAATAACAACACATAACAACAACAACAACAGGGCAACTTAGAACAGAAAACAGAACAATAAATTTAAAGCCAGTATCCTTCACCCCGAGAGAGAGAGAGAGAGAGAGAGAGAGAGAGAGAGAGAGAGAGAGAGAGAGAGAGAGAGAGAGAGAGGAGAGAGAGAGAGAAGACTAGGAGAAAAGAGAGAGAGAGAGAGAGAGAGAGAGAAGACTAGAGAAAAGAGAGAGAGAGAGAGAGAGAGAAGACTAGAGAAAGAGAGAGAGAGAGAGAGAGAGAGAGAAGACTCAGAGAAAGAGAGAGAGAGAGAGAGAGAGAGAAGACTAGAGAAAAGAGAGAGAGAGAGAGAGAGATAATTGAATAATGAGGAAGGATAGAAAGGGTAGACTCGGTAGGGATGATTGGTAGGAGTAGGATAGGGAAGGATAGGTAGAAAGAGTGGGATAGGGAAGAATAGGTAGAGGGAGTAGATAAGGAAGAGTAGATAGGGGGAGTAGGATAGGTAGACGAATTAGATAGGGAAGATAGGTAGGGTGTGTAGGATAGGGAAGGATGGGTAGAGGAAGTAGGATATGTAGGGGGAGTAGGATAGAGAAGGATATGTAGGGGGAGTAGGATAGGTAGAGGGAGTAGATAAGGAAGGAAAGGATAGGTAGGGTGTGTAGGATAGGTAGGGGAGTAAGATAGGGAAGGATGGGTAGAGGAAGTAGGATAGAGAAGGATATGTAGGGGGAGTAGGATAGGTAGAGGGAGTAGATAAGGAAGGAAAGGATAGGTAGGGTGTGTAGGATAGGTAGGGGAGTAAGATAGGGATGGATGGGTAGAGGAAGTAGGATAGAGAAGGATATGTAGGGGGAATAGGATAGGTAGAGGGAGTAGATAAGGAAAGAAAGGATAGGTAGAAGGAATAGAATGGGGAAGGATGGGTAGAGGGAGTAGGATAGATAGAGAGTAATTGGATAATAGGGAAGACTTGAAATAGGACGATGAGGAAGGGTGATAGGATAAAGATAGAGAGAGAGATAGAGAGAGAGAATAAGAAACGTAAGATAAATAAGGATAGGCAATACATGGATGAGGGAGGGAGGGAGGAAGGAGGGAGGTGGAGGGTAAGTGCAAATGAAGGAGGAAATGGGAAGGGAGAGAGAGAAGGAGGGTGGGAGAAGGATGGAGGGAGGAAAGAAGATTGAAAAGTGGGAAGGGAGAGGGAGGAATAAAGAAAGGGAGGAAGTGGGAAGGGAGAGAGGAAAGGAGGGATGAAAAGGGAGTAAGGAAGGGAAAGAGGGAGGGAGGAATAAAGAGAGGGATGAAAACTGAGTGGTAAGGAGGCAGGTAGAGGGTGAGAGAAAAGAGGAGAGAATAAAGAGAGAGAGAGAGAGAGAGAGTTTGTTGTTTTGCCAAGTTGAGCTTTTGAAGGAAATATTACAAAAAGACCATTAACACTATCCCCTCTCTCCCCGCCCACCCACGCCCACTCCCTGTAACTCTCTCACACCCACGCCCACACCCTGTAACTCTCACATCCACGCCCACACCCTGTAACTCTCACACTCCACGCCCACACTCTGTAACTCTTCACACCCACGCCCACACCCTGTAACTCTGTCCACGCCTTACACACCCCCTGTAACTCCCACACCCACGCCCACACCCCTGTAACTCTCTCACATCCACGCCCACACCCCTTTAACCTCACACCATTCCACACTCTGTAACTCCCCACACCCACGGCCACACCCCTGTAACCCCACACCCACGCCCACACCCTGTAACTCTCACACCCACGCCCACACCCTGTAACTCCCTACACCCACACCCCTGTAACTCTCCTCACACCCACGCCCACACCCTGTAACTCACACACCCACGCCCACACCCTGTAACTCCACACTCAAGCCCACACCCTAGAAACCCCTTACACCCACACCCCTGTAACCTTCACACCCACGCCCACACCCTGTAACTCTCACACCACGCCCACACCTGTAACCTCACAATTCAATAATCTCTGTAACTCTCTCACACCCACGCCCATTGAATCTCTGTAACTCTCTCACATCCACGCCCACACCCCTGTAACTCCCACACACCCACACCCTGTAACTCTCACATCCACGCCCACACCCCTGTAACTCACATCCACGCCCACATTCCCAGTGGCCCCCACACTCCACGCCCACACTCCCTGTAACTCTCACATCCACGCCCACACCCTGTAACTCTCACATCCACGCCCACACCCTGTAACTCCCACACCCACGCCCACACCCTGTAACTCCCACACCCACACTCTCCCATCTAAATCCCCTCCTACTCCCCGTCCTCTCCCATTCCCTCCCTTCCCTTCCCCCCAACATACACCCTACATACTCACATCAACATCGAGGGTGGGAGGGTCGAAGATCTGGATGGGATGGGCGGCGGTGGGCGTGTAGCGGTAGAACTCATGAGGTCCCTGATACCACTGTATAGAGTACATGTGATCGGTGTTTTCCTCCCACGAGCAGTCTAACTCCCCTTCACCACCCACCTCCAGCCTCGCCGGCACCCGCACCCGTGTGATCAT